ATTTCTGGGTTGGGGGGGAAGGCTTTACTTTAAACTCGGCGCGCTCCCGCGGCAAGCCCAGCGCATGCCCAAAAGAAGCAGCGCGTTAGTCAGACCCTGCTCACCCAACGTCTGTATAGATGGGTTGCGTTAGTGGGGACTTCTAGGGACTGAATCAGCTATTACAAGTGCCAGGAAAGCCCCGCCGAAGACCAGCTCTAGAGACAGCAGAGTCGGTCGTACTAAGGCGCCGCTTCCCGCTCCCGCTTCCAACCGTCCCGCCCCCGCGCGGCACCTCTCCGGCGGCGCCGGCTCTTCGCTGGCACCACTCCCCGGCCGCTCGTCCCGCGGCGGCTCCATGGCGCTGGTGGAAGCCGAGAGATGAGGTCACGGCGGCGGCAGCGACCCCAACGCGAAACCCAGTTTCCCGCCGCTGCTGCCAGAACCCTTGCGCTGGCAGCGGCGCAGGCGCACTGGCGCGGGGCTGGTCTGGCGCAAGGGAAGACCCCGCCCTTGGGGGCGCTCAGCCAATGGCTGCTTTGGCGCGGCGCGGTGGGGAGCGTGGCGATGCCTCAGAGCGTGGGGCGGCCGATGGGGCGGCGATCCTGCGCGGGAAAGGGTCGCGCTTTACACCGTGGCGCTTCCACACGTTCACCGGCCTGGCAAGCAGCGCCAGCCCCGCCGCGTGCCCGGGGCCGCCGCCGACTGGCAGAGCGGGGCGGGCAGACGCACTCCTCCAAACCCCGGTGCCCTGGCTCCGTGCGGGGTCACTCGCCCGGCCCTTCTCTACTGCTCATTCATTTCATTTAGAGGAAGGGAGCGTGAAGGTAAAGCGGGGAAATGCGGGGCAGGAGGTACCGCACACACACGAGGCGGCAGGACTGCAAGGCAGGGCGGTGGGACCGGCTCTGGCACAGGTAAAGCTGTGGGGGGCAGGGCTTGGCACATGGCCCTCATGACACGGGGCTGGTCGAGGCCATCAGGAGCCAAGCTCTGGCAAGTCTGGACCAGTGCTGCACCATAAGGGCAAGGGCCAAGCTCTGGAAAGCCACAGACCCCCTGCCAGTTTTCTTCACTGGTAACTTTTAGAACAGTCTCCATCTGCTATTATAAAGTGTCATGAAACATAACTGTGATGGTGGTACTTAGGATGCTTCTTCATACCCTCTTATAGTCTCCCAGAGAACTATAGGTACCCCGACTTTCCCTCCTGCCACGTCTTGGATGTTATTATTATATGTTCTAATTTATGATGTCACTAGTCAGGAGGGTTATTATATATAGTTCATTTTTTTTTGTTTGTTGGTTGGTTGGTTGGTTGGTTGGTTTGAGGGGGGGGAGTTATGCCTTTATTGGGGGTCCCAGTATTATAGAGGAATACCTCGCTTGCCTTCTTAACTAGCCACATGCAGTCACTGATAGATAGATAGATAGATATTCACAGTCTGATTCAGATTAACACTTGTCTTTATTTTTATCTTTTATCACTCTATACAAACTTTTTTTACTTTTAGGCAGAAGTTGTCCATTTATATCCTTTTCCTTTTTTTTCTTTAGCCTTATCAGTCATATTAACTTTGTAATTCTATCTATATAATTAATGTTTTTATGTAACTGCTATCAATTTGGTTGGACTGAATATAGTATTAGAAAACAAAGTCTCTTTCTCTCTTGTTCGTCTGTTTATCTTTTTTGGGCAGGCTTTTATCTTTAAACCCCGCCATATAATTTCTCTCTGTTTTGTTGCTATAAGTGTGTACCTTTTATCCTGCATGTGCCAGAAGCCTTGAATCCTTGTGACAGACAACCAGATGCCATCTCCAAGCCTGAGAGAGTGGGTCAGTTCACTCTCTTCTTTTCTTTGTTTACTTTCCAGGGCAGCAGCCAGACACGTCCCATGGTTTGTCTTCTCGTTTTGTCTCCTTGGGGATCCGCCCCTCTTCCTCGGAGCTCCGCTCTCTCTTGCGTCATGAGAAGTCTTGAGATAAGTCTCTTATCCCTTGGGGATCCTCTTTCTCCCTCTTTTTCTCTTTCAGCCCCTCTTTCTCTTTTGAAACTCCTCTCTCTTTTCCACTCTCAGAGCTTCTATCCTAATATGGTAATGGCTCTGGAAGCAGCATTCTCCGGCTCTTTTCACCACGTCGGTGTTTACTCTTTCACAATAACCCTAAAAAGTAGCTCTAGAATAGAAATCAAAACTCCCGTGTCTCGAGTGCCTGCCCTGAACCCCACTGCACACCACCCGAACCTTTAAACTGTGCCCCTTCCACACTGTCAACAGTCACCAATGCCCATACCACTGGGCCAATAAAAGCTATCATCAAAAAAGCTGGCTTTTCATTCTTAAGTTTTTACAGGCAATTCAGTGTGAGGTGAAAGATCACATTACAGCAAAATGGACAGTTGGGGAAGTGTTAAAACTATTAACTATAATGCATTAACGCACTAAATGAACCTCAGGGTTAGGGTACATCAGAATCAAGCAGTCAGAAACTAAGAAATGCTACAATTACATGTGACATTTTTTGCCTCCTTTTGCATAAGCACTATTACCTCATCTTTAGTTACATAGGTTTCTTGGGGGTTTGTTTGGTTTTTTTAAGGATAACTTCCTCAGTTCAGTCACTTAGAATTTGGGCTTGTTCTCCTCTGGACAGTCCCCTGTTGTGAAAACATACCCAACTGCCAGGTCCTGAAGACTTTTAAGACGACCAGACCTGTATATAGTCGAGCTGATGTTTCTGCTACTGGAGTTCTAGATACTTTCTTTGGTGTGGGACTGCAGTCCAAACATCTTAAACCCCAAAACCTCAAGCCGCCTCACCCTCACACACTACCTCAGAGTTCCACCTAGTTGTGGTTACTCTGTTTTCTAATTTCATCACTTCATGAGCAGCATAGCAGGAAAGCTATAATGCTAGATTGACAATTTCTTAACAATGATCATTTTACTCCTTAAAAGTACTAATTATTGATTTTTGTAAAAGCCTGGAGGTGAGTCTGGCTGCTAGGTGGCCTGGACAGCAAGGCACATGGCACCACACCACTTTCAGAGGTGGCAGGGAGCAGGCAGAGCGCAGCTGCATCCTGCCTGTGCCCCATGCAAAGATCGGAGTGTGCTGTGCCTTTATAGGAGCTGCTGGGCTCTTCCTGGGGATGATGTGGGGCAGGTGAGGGTTTCCCCGCGGGCTCCGTCTCCTTTGCCCCAGTGGTGCAGCCAAGGCAGGCCCTATTCCAGGTCCCCCCAGGCAGTGCAGAGCCAGGGCCAGTGCAGGGAGGCAGCCGGGGCTGGTGCGGGGTGGCGAATTCGCAGAGGCCACCGGCACTGGGCAATGACCCCAGGTGCAAGGGTAGGGACGGATGCAGCGGGCCCCGGCCCCAATCCCAGGCCCAGCTGTGCTCTGATCCCTGCCTGGTCCCAACCCCATTCCCTGCCCCCATGGCCCTTTCCCCACAGACTTTCCCATTGGGGGGGAGTGTGCACGTGAGTTCTCAGCCCCCCCAAACTTTTTTTCTCCCTCTGCCTGTGGGTAGCAGTGCAGAGGAGCCTAAGGTCAGCCTGGGCAAGGACTCTGGGTGGCTGCAGGAAGAAGAGCCGGGCAGCAGTGAAGAGCTGCTTTTCCTTTGCACTGAGCAGCAGCTTCTGCCTAGCTGCTGCTGCTGGTACTCAGAGTGGGCAGGTGAGTTCGGAGCAGGCATAGGGCTGGCCAGGGTCAGATCTGTTCATATGGGTTCCAGTTAGTCCGCTCCAGCCAGGGCGAGTCTGGAGCAGGTGTGGGTAAACCCAGGGTTGGGGCTGGGGCTGTGCACTGTTGGTGGTGGCGGGGTGGAGCCACAGGGCGCATGGGCTCTGGGCTGTTGGTGGGGGCTGTTAACTATTGTTTAACTGTGCAATTAAAATAGAGATTAATTGTGACTTTTTTAAATCT